TTCAGTATAGACAGGTTTAACTGTATTGAAGTTCAGTATAGACAGGTTTAACTGTAATGAAGTTCAGTATAAACAGGTTTAACTGCACTGAAGTTCAGTATAGACAGGTTTAACTGCACTGAAGTTCAGTATAGACAGGTTTAACTGTAATGAAGTTTAGTATATACAGGTTTAACTGTAATGAAGTTCAGTATAGACAGGTTTAACTGTAATGAAGTTCAGTATAGACAGGTTTAACTGTAATGAAGTTTAGTATAAACAGGTTTAACTGTAATGAAGTTTAGTATATACAGGTTTAACTGTAATGGTATTCAGTATAGACAGGTTTCACTGTAATGGTATTCAGTATAGACAGGTTTCACTGTAATGGTATTCAGTATAGACAGGTTTCACTGTAATGGTATTCAGTATAGACAGGTTTCACTGTAATGGTATTCAGTATAGACAGGTTTCACTGTAATGGTATTCAGTATAGACAGGTTTCACTGTAATGGTATTCAGTATAGACAGGTTTCACTGTAATGGTATTCAGTATAGACAGGTTTCACTGTAATGGTATTCAGTATAGACAGGTTTCACTGTAATGGTATTCAGTATACACAGGTTTCACTGTAATGGTATTCAGTATAGACAGGTTTCACTGTAATGGTATTCAGTATAGACAGGTTTCACTGTAATGGTATTCAGTATAGACAGGTTTCATTGTAATGGTATTCAGTATAGACAGGTTTCACTGTAATGGTATTCAGTATAGACAAGTTTCTACATACCTCTGTAATGCTTCCACTGCACCAGGAATAACATTATTTTCTATATGCATTGTTCCACTCAGGTCGATGAGTACGGCTCCAATACGACCAAGTTTAGCACTCATTGTGGCAGTCCTACAATACAATGATTTAATTTTCAGTTTTTACTTGCCTATTTCACTCAAAATTTGTGTTCCAATATTCTTAAATTAAGTGCAGATTATAAACAGGAATATTTTGTGAATTTGTGAAGAAAAGATAGAACTGGTGGTGAAAAAGTTAAAGGGGTGATATTGTAAGCAACATTTTGAATTTTGCTAATTTAGTTTGTAATTTTGCTAATTTAGTTTGTAATTTTGCTAATTTAGTTTGAATTTTTGCTAATTTAGTTTGCTAATTTAGTTTGAATTTTTGCTAATGTTTGAAATTTCGAATTTTGCTAATTTAGTTTGTAATTTTGCTAATTTAGTTTGTAATTTTGCTAATTTAGTTTGAATTTTTTCTAATTTAGTTGGCTAATTTAGTTTGAATTTTTGCTAATGTTTGAAATTTTGAATTTTGCTAATTTGGTTTGTAATTTTGCTAATTTAGTTTGTAATTTTGCTAATTTAGTTTGATTTTTTGCTAATTTAGTTTGAATTTTTGCTAATTTAGTTTGAATTTTTGCTAATGTTTGAAATTTTGAATTTTTGCTAAGTTAATTTGTAATTTTGCTATTTCATTAGCTTAATCATAGACCCTCTTTTAGAGGGTCTATGGCTTAATAAAGATTCTGTTAATTTATGCATTGAGACAAATTTGTTGAAATTGTATGTATCTTATATTTCAATGTGTTTTACAGTAATAAATACAAATCAAAAATTACAATATTCACAAGATACCCACATCAGACCAGTTTCTGCCAATCCTCGGGGGCAGGCATCCGGGCAACCATCACGGTGAAAAGAAAGGCAAAAAACTCGCAGAAAACGGTACTTTGGGATGGTTGTTGAGACTCCCCTGATCAGTATAACAAGATTAGCCCTACATGTGTAACATATATAATTTTTGTTTTTCAGGATTACTTCAAAGTTGAGTTTGTGTTTTCTTTTTTACGAATTTTCACTGGCTCGACCGGCGTTCTACAGCAGCGTGCACAGAGCACATAGAAATGTATAATACAGTGGTGCGCGTCTTAGCAACGTGGAACGTCTGTGATGTGGCTCCGCCCCCAAGGATAGCAGATTTTTTGGGCCAAGTGATTTAAAATTGAATAAATAATCAAATGACACATATGAAGACAACAGAAGTAACCATATACTATCCGAGCTCTTGGTAAAGGTGTGTGTGGTTTGGGATGCAATTATTCTCACACACATATATAGTACAAACAATCAAACCTGTACACAGAACTACTTACTAGATGTGATTTCACCAGAGTACTGTAAAATGATTAATTTTCACTGGGTTTAAATTGCGCTGATTTAGCATTTCAGGCATATTCAGTGTGTTTTAAATTCACGGTTTTATCATTCAGATGCTAAATTTTACATATTCACTGGGTTTTAATTTAGCGCATTTTCCAGTCAACGAAATAAGCAAAATTAAAACCCAGTAAATAATTAATCCTTTTACAGTAGTTAAGGTAGCGAGAAGGGAAATTTTCACTTTTTTCTTGATTTTTCAAAAATTGATAAAACGGTTACTTTAGACCTTGATACATCACCCCAGGTTTACAAAAGATCAAAATTGCGAAATAACGTTGCTCAAATTAGTGTTTTAAAACACTAGCAGAAAAGACTACAACTGCCGTTTCGTGGATATTTGCATAGTGTTTATCTTTGGAAGGAATTAAATGATAAAATCTTATCTGTATACTCTGTTGTTGACGATTCTGATATAACGGGTGATAAGCTTCCAGTTGCAAACAATGCATGTTTATCTAACGTCCATTGTCAGCGTTATTGTCAGTCGAGACTTCGTCCGAGAAACATGGTCATACAGTACTCATTTCGCCCAACCTTCCGCTTTTACATCGACCGCTTATCGCTTAATTTCCGACCACGCGGTGTTGTCCGACCGGAAACCGACCGCATTTTAATCGCGTTTTTTTTTTTCGCTCGCTCGCTTATTGAAAACAACATTGACCGCTCGCCCAAACACTGAAAACTGGCACATGGGTGGTCGAAATGGTGGTTTTGATAGTGAAGTGTGAACATACAACTAGTATTAACTATTATTACATTCTGAACGACACTTCAAATCTAATAGCTGTATTACACTTGTATCGTGAAAGCAACTGAACTGGGACCTCTTGTTACGTGTTTTGGGTGCTTGTTCTAGATTTAATATTTTTATTTTTATTTTAATGAGACAGTTACGTGAAAAAAGCCTAGGTAACTCCTTTTGACAGAGCAGAGAAACGAGGAAATGTTAGTGATTAATTCCAAAAATAACGATATCGAATCCACATCGGTCCACGTCTGGTAAAATTTGACATTCAATTTTTAAAATTAAGTCATGATCATTGTAAAAAAAATCGTGAATTTCATAGATTCGAATAAAATAAAGCAAGCGATTGATAAGGATGATTATTAATATTTTCCCCGATGCTCTTCGAATTTTTATTTTTTTTATTTCAAGGTAAGAAATGGCTAGTTGAAGTTGCATCGTCTTCAATGCGGTTGTTTCACCGCGAACAACTCTAGCTCTGTTTTGGGCATGGTTTAGTTTTGCGATGTAAAATAAAATATATATTAAAATAATAATACTTGATTAATTATTTGGGGTTTCAGCCCACAAATTACGGACATGATCTCCATGAATTACGGTCAATGTTTGTCTTCTCTCGGCTGATTGTCACGGTGTTGATCGACGCCCTTCCTAAACTCAGTATGGAGAAACCAAGGGATCGACATTCCAAACAAACAATCGAAATTATCAACGAAAGACGAGATTTTTCTAGATATTTACAAACATACAGTCATGACAAACATATGTAAAATTAACAAATACACAAAGAGGTGTAATATTAGGTTTTATTTTAGGCTTAGAAATATTTTCTTTCACTCAGCCCATGCATGTAACTGCCATTTAGCTTTAAGGTCCTTCA